AATATATATAGACAATAATAGTGCTAGCCAGCTAGCTTTGCCTCTAGCTGCTATGAGCGCTATGCCACGTGTCGTGTTCGTGCATAGTCGTTACATTGTGCCCTATGCCTCTACAGTTTCTACAGCGCTGTTAGGCTAACTAGGTCCTTTCTTAAGTACCTGCACTATAAGTCTTCTTTAATGGCTGAGCTGCTACAGACACCTTAGCAGCTACCTGTGATGCTGCTGGGCCATACTCAAGTGTGCCGCCATGCTAAATTTGCTTTCGCTTGCGCGACTTTCTCCTAGTCATAACTGCAAATTGCTCTTTAAGCTTAGTAATGTGAGCAGCGTGTAGCATGTTTTAGTGCAGCATTAATTTACTACCTTTAATAAGCTAAGAGAAGCTAGCCTAGGCTATAACTAGTAACTAAGTAAAGGAGTTATGTACAAGCTTTAACTAAGACCTAAACTTATGTGTATTGCTTAGAGTCCTTAACTGCTACAGTGTCTCTAGTAGAGGGGGTGCTAGTAGGGTATAGTGTTGCACCTTAAGGCAATCTAACACTACCTGCGCGTTAGTAGGGACTAGCCCTAATGCCTTAAAGGCCTTCTAATAGTTAGCCTTTGTAAACATGTTAAGAAACACGTCTCTAAAGGCTAGAAGGAAGCCTTCCTTGTTAATGTAGAAGACGCGTTAGTGTGCTAAGTCCTGGACGCGTTAGGAGTACTTGCGCTTTAATAGCGAGAAACAGACCACGTCAAGTGGCTGGAGGATGTGTGACAAGTGAGCTAGCATACAGAGAGTAAGGATCTTGTTATCTAGGCAATAGTCCTTAAAATCCTAGTTAAGGTGGCTCTTATGGCTGTCCAAGATAAGTAGCCTGTATCCCCCTACCTAACGCGCTCTTGTATGCGCGTCAAAATGCTTTAACCACTTAAGGCTAAGCGCGTTGTTTATCCAGCTGTTCTTAGAGACAGAGAGCTTCTAATTGTGTGGTATATCCGTCTCCTTGTACTAGGCAGAGATGTGGATGCGTCCTTTGTAGATAATGAAAGGCAGGGTCGCATATCTAGCAGCGCAGATGCTCTGTATAACTGTAACCTACTCCTAATCACCTGGCTGAATAAGCTTAGGTTAAGCGCGTCTCTTAGCGCCTATAACAACCTTTATTAACCCTATCACGCCTATCTAGAACCTAGTCTTATTAAAGTTGTGCATGTTATTGTTATAGATGCTATACTTAGCCTTAGTACCCTCTACTAGCATAAACTACGTGTTAATTACCTTAGGATCTTCCTATAGTATCCTCTATCTATCCTTTGCTTAGTTAAATGCTATCTTAAGCTAATCTAAACATATTATAAATCTTATAGCCTAGAGTTTACTAATAGGCTCCCTACTACACACACCTAACAGTTTATTAGCTATATCTGCTACCTTACACAGCTAAGGCGCAAATCCCTGCAAATTAAGGTTAAGGATAACCTGTTTTATCAGTGAGCGCCCCACCTCAGTGAGCGCCCCACGAACACCAGCAAAGCGCATGCGCGACACTCAACGCGTAATGTCTCAACAACCACAACCTCACAAGCCCTATACTAAAGCTAACGTGCAGCTTTCCCTCTCTAACATTAAATGCGACCAGATTACAAGCCTGCAACGTGCTGAGGCAGTCTACAGCGTTCCTTATAGGATAATATAACAATAACGTGACAGGAAGCCCTCTAGACGCAACTGCAAGCCTAGATTAAAACGCCTAACAAAGCTAGAAGAGGAGGTAATTCTGCAGCATATACTTGACAAGAACCTACATAGAGTACCGCCCTCAAAGCTACACGTACAAGATATGGCTGATAGACTGCTGCGCGACCGCGGCAGTAAGCCTGTTGGTAAATGCTGGGTTAACAGGTTTATTAAGCGTACACCTAAGCTGCGCACGCGCTGGACTCGTCCATACAATCACTAGCAAGCTCTCTGCAAAGACCTAGCAATTATTAAGCCCTAGTTTACGCTAGTTTAGAATATAAAGGCAAAGTATAGTATTATAGACAATAACATATACAACTTTAATAAGTCTAGCTTCCTAATATGCAAGATATCTTTATAACTTGTTATAATAGGCATAGAGAAACCTAGGAAAGCAAAGAAGCTTTAGCCTAGTAATTATAAGTAGACTATGTTAATATAGGGCGTCAGCGCAACAGGGCATGTTATCCCACCCTTCCTTATCTTTACTAGCAAGGTTCTTATCTCTAACTAGTTTACTAAGGACCTCCTACGCAATTAGGTTATTTAAGTAAGCCTAACAGGCTAGACAAACAACAATCTAGCACTTGCCTGGCTTAATTACTTTAATACGCATGTGAGGCCTGTAGGAGCGTATAGGCTACTAATTATTAACAGCCACAAGAGCTATTGCTTGATAGATTTCTAGGATTGTTGCAAGGAGAAGAAGATTATCGCCCTCTGTATGCCTCTACACTTGTTGCACCTCCTGTAGCTGCTTGACGTCGCCTGTTTCTCGCCATTAAAGCGCACGTATAGTGATTAGATCTTAGCCTTAGCACACAATTATATTAACTACATTAGTAAACAGACCTTCTTACTAGCCTTTAAAGTAGCTTTTAAGAAGGCGTTTACAAGAGAGAATGCTTGCGTAGGGTTTTAAGGCGCTAGATTATCTCTACATAATCTACAGGCTGTGTTATTAAAGCTAGATGTGCAGCTGCGTACGCAAACTCCACTACAGCAAGTCAACGCCGCTTAGGAGGCGAAAACACCACGCAACGCTAAAGAAATAGAGGTGCAATTAACACTAGTTTAAAACAGGATAAAAATCTATTAAGGGTCTCTAGCAAGTTTACTTAATAAGCAGGTGCAGCAGCTAATAAAAGGCGCGTAGTAGATAGCTTATAAGATAGTGTTAATGCGCGCAGAGATAGTGCGCCTTAATACTACTACTAAAGTAGCAATAAAGTATAAAAGTTGCAAGAGACGCTACATACAGGCAGAGGAGACATTAATAGTTAGCAAGGTATTAGACTTAATTACTAAAAGGGAGGGTAGTAGATATAAGGAGGGTAAGGAGCTGGCAAAGAGGGTGCGCGCAGGGCAACGCTGTGGCTGTTGCAGTAAGATTAGGCACAACTCTTGCACCTGCAAGGTAGAAATTAAGGATATAAATAATAGCAACGCTTCTTAATAATACTATACTGTTGCAAGAGTACAAAATTTGTGTTGTGGTGCTAAGCTACGTTGCTGCGTGTACGCCTCGCTGGTGTTCGTGGGGCGCTCACTGAGGTGGGGCACTCACTGATAAAACAGGTTAACGTAGATTATCACCGAGCCGGCCATATCACCGAACCAGCCATTTTCTCTTAGCACGACTAACACAAGTTACTACAACTACAACTACTTACTATTAAATAGTGACCTAGCATACTGCGTGCTTATATTAGATTTAGAAGATGTTTCTGTACCCTCCTAGCACATTTGTGCGTTGTGTCTAGTCTTGCTGCAGTTCCTACAGCGCTGAACAGTTGACTAAGCTCCTAGTTGACCACCTCCACCCTAAGTCTTCTTAGATGGCTGAGCTGCTACACACGCCTCAGCAGCTACCTGCGATGCTGCTAGGCCATACTTAAGTGTGCCACTATGCTGAATCTGCTTTCTCTTACGCGATTTTCTCTTAGTTATTACTGCTAATTGCTCTTCAAGCTCTTGCACGTGGGCCTTAATAAGGACATTTTTGTGCAGCATCTCTTTAGCCCCTTTTATAAGCTTTAAGAACCCCTCTTACACTATACTTAGTAATTGTTAGAAGGAGTTGCTTACAAGCTTAGATTAAGACCTAAACTTGTGTGTATTGCTTAGTGTCTTAGATTACTACAGTGTTTTAGGTAGAGGTACTGCTAGTAGGGTATACAGCTACACTTTAAGGCAATCTAACACTACCTATGTGTTAGTAGGATTAAGCCCTAATACCTTAAAGGCCTTTTAGTAGTTAACCTTTATAAATATATTAAGGAACACGTCCCTAAAGGCTAGTAGAGAGCCTTCCTTATTAATATAGAAGACGTGTTAGTGTGCTAAGTCTTAAACATGTTAGGAGTACTTATGCTTTAATAGCAAGAAATAGACTATGTTAAGTAGCTAGAGGATGTGCAATAAGTAAGGTAGTATATAGAGAGTAAGGATTTAGTTCTCTAGGTAATAGTCCTTAAACTCCTAGTTAAGATAGCTCTTATAGCTGTCTAAGATAAGTAACCTATACACTCCTACCTAACATGTCTTTATATGTGTGTTAAAGTGCTTTAACTACTTAAGGCTAAGTATGTTATTTGTCTAACTATTCTTAGAGACTAAGAGCTTCTAATTGTAGGGTATATCTGTCTCCTTATACTAGGCAGAGATGTAGACGCGTCCTTTGTAGATAATAAAAGGTGGGGTTGCATACCTAGCGGCGCAGATGCTCTGGATAACGGTAACCTACTCGTGATCACCTGGCTGAACAAGCTCTGGCTGAGCACGTCTCTCTAAGCCTGTTACAACCTTTAAAGACAAAGCAACGCCTATCTAGAACCTAGTTTTATTAAAGTTGTTCACGTTATTGTTGCAAACACTAACGTGGTTTATCACCGAGCCGCCAGGTATCACCGAACCGCCACCCCTCGCCAATTTTGCGACTGTTACAATAATTATTACAATGCCATTACAACGCAACACGCAATCACCCTATAACAAAGGTACACTATACCTTACTATCTAAGCTACAAAAGCTACTGTGCCTGACAGTATAAATCACGCGTCTAAGGCCTTTAGTGTTCCCTAATTAATATTAAGAGACTAACGCGCAGGAGGGCTTGCACAACGTAATTATAAGGCTAATTTAAAGAAGCTAATAAAGGTAGAAGAGGAGGCAATAGTTAACTATATACTTAAGCTAGACAGGCAAGGAATAGGCGCAACAAAGACTATAGTGCAAGATATAGCTAATAATCTGCTTGCTGCACGTGGTGAAGGACCTGTTAGCAAGCTCTAGGTAAACAGGTTTAACACGCGTACCTAACAAATTAAGCTTTAATGTAGCTAACTGTACAATTGTTAACAAGCCCTAAATAAAGATACACGCGTTATAACGCCCTAGTTTAAGCTAGTTAGGAATACAAAGGAGAAGTACAGAATCCTAGATAGAGATACCTA